TGTTCAAAAGGTATACTTGTGGAGCAGATGCTTAGCGCAATGCTGAAGATGTGGTGTGGATGAGGATGCCTTGGTATTTGATGTACCTTGGTATAAATCCCCATCTCTGTTTCTGATTCAATCTTCCTGCTAATGCAAGCCTTCAGAAACAACTGGTAATGGTCTAGGTGCTGGGATCTCTGCCACCCATGTGAGACTTGGGGTGATTCCCAGGTTGTTGGCTTCAGCTTTGTCCAGTCCCATCTATTGCAGTCATCTTTCTCTTTCTTATTCTTCCCCACTCTCTTTCAAATTAAGAAAAAATAAATTAAAGTTGTCTACTTCCATACAACCTACACAATCTTCCCAGATTATTTATAATACCTAACAGAATGAAAACGCCACATAAATAGTTCTTACATTGTATGATTTAGGAAATAATAAGGCAACAAAATCTGTGTAAGTTCAGGAACAGTTAAAGAGAGAAAAAGCTTTCATCAATGGTTCCTTCCTCAAATACACCCAATAAATGAGGCTGGCCCTGGCCAGTGTCAGGAGTCTGAAACTCTACGTCTTCCATTTGGGTGCAGGCACCCACGCATATGGGTCATTTTTAGCTGCTTCTCCAGGTACATTGGCAAAGGAGCTAGATTGGAAGCAGAGCAGCCAGGACTTGAACAGACATCTATATGGAATTCTGGCATTGCAGGTAGCAGCTTAACCCCATGTGCCACAATTCTAACCCCTCAGACACATTCTTTTTTTAAAATTTTTATCTGGATTGGTGGAATCCCTGAATGAAGAATCCACAGTTAGAGAAAACTGACTGAATTTAGATAATCAAAACTAAAGCAACTTCATAGATCCCCTAGCCCTGCTGGCCATTTTACAGCATCAAGATTGTCCAACCAGACTTTTACTTTGGTTTGCTTTATTTGGAGAGAGTAAGGCATCCTATGTTCTGCATGTATGAAGTCTTGTTTTCTTTGATTTATCCCAAGACTTTTTAACTTGGTTGTCCTCCACCATTTCAGACCTAGAATGTCTAAAATATTTTTTCCCTAAACTATCTTTCTCTCTCTTGGTATTGTCTGTCTTTGTTTCATTAGATTTTCCAAATAAAATACACTCAGGCCTAAGGTTTCTTCCTGTGTTACTAAAGGCCAACCTTTCTCATACTTCCTTTGTAGTACAAGCACATTACATTAATTCAGGTTTCATGACTTCATATTTAGAATATTCTGCCTGTTTTTAACATGCCATTAAAATTTTCACCTGCTCTTTTCCTGCTCTGAAAGTCAGTGCCCATTTCAACTCAAACAGAATCTCCATTTTTAGTTAAGATTACTGGTATCGGCAGTCTACAGAGCTGTATTTGAAGAGACTTTGTCAAACAGTTTGTGTTTATTATATCAATACTCTTGACATCCTGTGAATTACACACTAGCATTATCCCCAGAACACACGGGCGAATTGAGGCTCAGCCATAGTAAGAAAGTTGCTTATGTTCACCGGCTAAGATTCAGTGTGCTATGAGGAGATAATCAGCGAGAGAGCAAAAAGCTGAGTGCACACCCAGGAGAGGCCACTCTGAGGAAATGAAGCCGAATTCTAGAAGAGGAGAAGGAATTACAAGACTAAGGAAAAGATGAGGAGGATTTATAGAGAAGGGTTAACAGCATGTGCAAAAGGCTCTGAGGTGGGAAGGAAGTAGCACTATTTCCAGAACAGAGAGGAACAGAATGGGTGTAAAGTTGTGATCAGTGAGTAATGTGCGCTGCTATAAAGGTCCTTGCAGCCAGCTTGGGAATCTTGCTTCAATTTTCAGTGAGTGTCAGAGGAAACATGGACAGCGTTAATTGCATGCAGGGAGCAATCAGAGTCTAGAGACTTGGGTGACTACTACAAGAAGAATGGAATGAGAGGAGAGGAAGAGAAGCAGTAGTTTCAAGGATCTGAAATGGAACTGAGGTGGTTTGCTAGGGGAGTACTATAGAAATTGGGTGACATGGGTGAGTCTGAGATTTTGCTTTAAAATGGAAGTGAAGGAGGTTGAGAACTTTGTGGCCCATCTATGCTCATTGAGCAGGGGCTTCCTCCTTCCCTCCTCCCCTCTTCCTCTCTCCCTCATATTTCTTCCTGGTATACTACGCAGTGCTGTCTTAGTGATGTGTGTGGTAAAATCTCCCAATCCTTTCTTATGATGCAGAAACATCTGGAACTCCAGATTCAGTAAAGAGAAGCCAGTATCTTCTGACACGCCTCAGGTGACTACATGAATTGGTAAGAATGGGATGGTCATGTTTGGACTCAGCTGTGCCCTGATTTTCCGTCATAGAATAGGAGCCACATTGACCTGCTTCAGGCAGTTGAACCAAAGAAGCAATCAGATTCTACTGATTCTGCCCTAAGTTTGTCATGTGACAGAACATCTCAGAACTTCTGCCTGAAAGGCTTAGTGAGCCAGGACAGACAAGAATGGATTTTCACAGCTGTGTCTCTGGGCCCACAGCATCCACTAGGAGAACACAATCTTTAGCATCTGTGTTAAGATGCCATATTTCTTGTCTGAGTTTTTTATTGTTCCAATAGTGTCCTTCAGAAAGTGGTAGATGGAGGAAATGTGGTTTTATTTTTAACATTTTTCCTTCTGTCCACAAACTATATTATCAGAGGGCTATTTACGGAATGACTTGTAGACTTGGGACCCTTCTTCACTTGCTACCTGAGATTCCTTTAGAAATTTGAATTCTGAGTTACTTGCAGATACTTAAAATGTTTCTTGGTCACTGACAGTTTTGTATTTACATTTCCACCTCAAGAGTTTTTGTTAGTTTGTTTGAACACTAAAGATATTAAAACTCTGTCCAATCTCATTCTTTTTATCACCTTTCTTTTTCTTTACCTGGAGGGAAAAGCCTTACTCTGATCTTTCATGTCTGAGATTTACCAGCTGGGCTCCTCTCTCAAGTGAGATGGCTTGTTGTCTCTGCCCTAAAGAAGTTTCCTGAAAAATACCCAGGGAATCATGTGGTCTTAGTGGAGTTTCTCTCCCAGGGCTGAAGCATTTATGGGTTGTAGTCTGCTGTGTTTTCATGCTTTTGATATGGTAACACAACCTGTTATCCACGTAACCTCAGCAAAAGAGAAGCGCCAGTAAGATCTGGTGAGAGGGCTATTTCTCATCTGATGTTCCAGGGCTTGTTTGCATTGACCCTGGTGATCTGGGATCCGTCTGTTTTTAGCCCTTTGTGTGAATGACACAGAACACGGTTCCCTTGCAGCATATTGAAGCTTGACAGCCAGGCTCACCTTGACTGGAACAAACTCTGGCACAGAAAACCCACCTCATCTGCTTGGAGTGTGTCCAGCTTAGCAGATGAGCTCGAGATGCCAAGGGTTAGGGAAAAGCTACAACTCCAAGAAATACAGACTGAATCCTATGTTAAAACTGGTACGGACTGAAGACTCGCCTAACTTTTCTGTTTCTTTCCTGTTAACATTTTACATACATTTCTCAAACTTAAAAGATGATTTTAGTTTCCTAGACCACCTCTTATCTTCCCTCCTCTGTTCTCCATCATCTTTGATGAAGTTTTTCCTCTAATTTTCTAAGTATTTATTTAAAAATAGACAGTGACCTTAGGTTGCAGGAATCTTCCTTGCAACCTGCTTCATCTGTCCTTGGGTTTTCCTTATGTAGTTACAGATAGTACAAATGCACTCAGAAGATGCCAAATTGTTCTGGAGATAAGTAATGGGTTCATGGATAAATATTTAGTTCCATGTTGCTTTCAGATTCACTTGTCTGCTTCTTCACTGGCTGTTTCTTCCAGCTCATGCCGGGTACCACCAACTTAAGGACAGGAAATGTTGCCGTGAGGTCTGTGGATCATTCAGTTTCACATGTATTGTTATCCTTGGGAAGCTTGGCCGAGGGAGAGTGTGAGATTTACTCAAGTCTTAAAGGCAATGGGATAAGCAGAGTTGGACCCTCTGCTGCAGAAGTTGTGGCCTTTTCTATGCATAGAAATCACTTTATCATTCTTCCAATTTGTGTTTCAACACCTGAGAATCACATCCCATGGTCTGTTTCACCCTTCTTTCAAGCTGCTTAGACCAAAGCACTTCCAGTGTGAAGGCAGGGCAGGGCAGGGATCTGTGAATAAACGGGTTGATGACTGAACATGTACCAATGGTCTTTCTTTTCTTCTGATATGCACCTGTGCACTTCTTCATCCAAAGGAAAACACTCAGGCCATGCTGATGTTGTAGAGACTTCTCAGAGCAACTAGATTAAGGCTTAAGCTGAAGCCTGGCTTAGAATACAACAGCTGTGTGTATACACGCACACAGAGGTAACCGAGGGCTCTGCTGAGATTTAGCAGAAGGAATACAATACCAGACACTAACTGCCTATCAGCATCTATTTAGTGAGGGGATGGCAAGTGAACGGGAAATGTTTTATTCAGAGAATGACCTCATAGGCATCATCCTTCCATCCATTTCCCACTCTTTCTACCCACGCTTGTTCTTGTTACCTTATTGTAGAAAGGAGTTAAAAAGCAGGCCCTCAGGAAACAACAGGGCAGCAATAAAGGAAGGGTCTTATGGATGAGGTTATCAAAGAAGACAACAAAACACAAAGTATTATCCTAATCTTAACTCTATACTAAAGAGAGACAAAGTGTGTGTGTGTGATCTTGTTCTCTGTAACATTTGGAAATTATCATAAAAGAAAGCCTTCACTGTTTTTTATTGCTATATTGACCAAGTATGAAATCATTACATTTTCTTTTCTTGCTAAGAAGACAATGGGGAGGCAAAAAATAATGATCTTGGTATTTGTTATAAATGGCTAGTGATGGTGGAGAAAATACCATGCATTATTCACAAACCATGAGTGCAATAGCAGACATATAACAGGCCTGGGTCAACAAAGGGTATTGGGACAGTTCCTTGAATTGTGAAAAAGTAGCCAATCTTTCCCCAAATTCAGAAACCAAATTGCAAGCCCTTACCTTGGAGGGCCTGTAAGCTATGAGTCTGTACGATAATGCAGAGCTGCAGGACCAGCTGTGGAGCACTTTCCAGAAAGGTGGCTAGCAAATGCAGCATACTCACATCAGCATACTCATACACCATTTTCCAGTAAAACCTCCATCTGTCATTCTCCCCACTCTGCCGGCTTCGAATACCTAAGTATATTGTGTGGAAATATCTGGAAAGAAAACATGAAAAACAAGAAGTGAATGATTGTTTGCAGTTCAAACTCCAGGACTGTTTTTCTGCAAGCCCCCACCTTCACGCCAGCATATAGGTATTGACCTCGGTGGCTTCCCACTTACAGCCTAAAGCTAGCAGTGTAGCAGTACTCTTATTCAGCAGCGTTCTCTTGCAGGAGCCACTGTAACTCTGATTCTTCTGAAAGGCATGGCACCGAATTGCTCTATGATGATGCATGAGATACAGGTGTTGGAAACTCAGGTGAAGAAAGGTTCTGCTCTTTTATTTATTGGTCTTTCAGAATGTGCTACATCTTAGAACCACATACATTTTATCATGAGTTTCTCTATGCCCTCAACAGGATTTATGAAGTGGATTTCCTCTAACCCCCCACATAAATCTCAAATACTAAACGATATATACTTATAAACCTTCTTTATTTATCTTTAAAAAGAACAATTCTTATTGCCGCACACTCTCAACCTATAAAGTGAGAAAAAGTATAGAACTGAATCCACTGTATCCTTCACTGAGATTAAATAGTTGCCAATGTATTGCCAATTTTTCATTTCTATCTGCACTTATTGCCAGCTGAACATTATTTTGAAGCAAATGGTAGACATCACATTATTTCATTTGTATTTATAACTGTAGAAAATAACTGAAAAGCCAAACCATTATCACACTTAGAAGGACAGTAATTTTGTAATATTTTAAAATGCTCATTTTAAATTTTCTGATTGCTATAATTTTAAAAGTTTCTTTAAAATGAAATTTAAACAAGGTCCACAAATCATTACTATTTGATATATGTGTTCATTTTGTTTAGGAGAGGAAGATGGGGGAAGGAGTGAGAGCAAAGAGAGCTCCCATCTGCTGATTTATCACCAGATAATAGAAACCACCAGGGCCAAGGCTGGCACACATACACTCACACAACACACGCAACACACACACACACACACACACACACCTTCCATCTGCTGTTTCACTTCCCAAATGGCCACAACAACTGTATTTGTCCTTTGTGTTTTCTGAAAATGGTAGCTAGTGCTAGGATGTTGATCAGATTCGAGTTTGATCGTTTTGGGCAGATGATGCTGTGCATGCTCATCAGGAAGCACATTATCATTAGTTGTCTGCTTTGATGTTATCATCCACTGGCAGTATTGCAATCAGGGCTGGAAAGTGGTGATAGTCTGAGTTCATCACTCTTCTTTATTTTTCAGGTAGAATGCTTTCTTGGTGCTTTGTCAATGTCTGTAGTATTGTTTGTCTTAAGCTTTTTGCCTATCTAGATGGCTCAAGCAAAGCACAAAGAGAAAACATTCCCAAGTCATTGCTTATAGACAAGTCTGTGGTTATCAGTGGCACCCTGGGTTGGGATAAGGTGCTTCTGCTTCTGCAGATTCTAAAGTTTCACAGTTTCCGTTGTCTGTGAAATGACAGAACACAGGAAATGCAGAACTTCTCAGCTCCTAAGAACCAGGGACAATGCAAGACTAGAAAAGCCTGGGCTGCCTTTTCATGGGTAGATGCAAAATACATGCATATTTTACACAAGGCAAGACCTGCAGTTCATTTACTGGAATTTTTAAAGTCTGTGCTTTCACTGTTTGCTAGCATCAAATGTTTCTACATCAAAGTCTGATCAAAATGTGATACTTGGACTGTAAGTTAATTGACCTGTTTGCTTGGATGCCCCCAAAATATTTTGTTTCTTTTTAAAAGATTTGTAGTTTTATTAGAATGTAGCCTGACACTGATTCGGGAGTGCAGTCTAACTCTTCATTATAATGACGCATGTTTCAATACAAAAAGGTGTCTGAAATGACTGTGTGCGGTAATTTTGTTACAACTCATTGCCTTCATTTTCTTTGAGAATTCCTATTTGTATCTGTTCTAACATCTTCCTATATCTTCTATTAGTTTTTCTTGAGGCCTTTTCATCTCTATTTTTTTTTAATTTAACCTTCTCTCTTCCTTCCCATCTACTATTTATATTCTAACTCTGGTGTTTGAATAGTGTCACCTCCTTTATGGTTGAATTTTTAACTCTGACCTGCTTTTTTAAAGTTAAAATTCTATGTTGAGTTCTGTCATCCTTCTTTGCAAGTCACACTTTTCCTACTCCTTTCCTATTTTTTTTTTAAATTCAGGCTTACATTGTTTATAAATAGCTCTTACACTTTTGATAACTTCTTTCAGCTCACACTTGAAATGCCAGCTCATGTGTTTTTCTTTTCCTATTTTGTGCACATGCCTTTTTTTCTTTGTTTGAAAAGTATCATTTGTCTTCTTACTTTCTTTTCTTACATTTGCTTCAATCTTTTTCTTGTTCATTCAGTGTTTGTGTACTTGTTGGAGCGGAGTGCTAGAATAACTGGGTGGCTTCACAGCTCTAGAGACCATTCCTCTTGTCACCCTGAACATCTTCTGCCACCGTCACCATATTTGTACTCATTTCAAAGCTCAGAATAGATGCAGCGATAAGGTGAAGTTTTCTATAGAGCAGGCCAGAGGGATTTCAACCCTATTATGAACAGATCACTATTTCTCCCCATGCTGCCCAGTACAGCTTTTGGTCAGTAAAGTGTGAACTGCTGCTGTTTCCTTTCTCATATCGCCACCTCTTTTCACAGTCTCATTCTTTCCATAGGATAGCTTTCTGATATCCTTGACACACAAACTCACTTTCAAACTAACAATCTCCATTAGATCATCATCAGTGATTCCTCAGTTCTCCATAAAGAGGCAACCATCTAACCATTGGTATTGGCTTCTAAGGGTGGTTTGAATAAAGTTCTGCAAACTGGTGGCATGCACACAAGAAGCCTGTTATCTCCAGTTCTGCAAGCTAGTAACCCAAGATCAAAGTGTCACTTTTGGTTTTTATGAAGACCTTGAAGAAATACACCTTATCCCTCTCTGCTGTCACTGCAGGTAGTTTGCTGGCAAGCTTTGGTATCCTTGGCTGTGAGGTGCACCAATAGTGTCTCACCCTTCATCTTCACATGGCTTTCTTCCTATGTGTGTGTGCACTTCTGTCTAAATCCCTGATTGTGTTTTTTTAAAAAAAAAGATTTATTAACTTGTTTTGAAAGACATGGTTATGGAGAGGAGAGAGAGAGAGAAAAATCTACCATCTGCAAGTTCAATCCAAAATGGCTGAAAAGGCTGGAGCTGAGCTGATCCAAAGCCAGGAGCCAGGAATTTCTTCCAGGTCCTCCCTCCCACCATGAATGCAGAGCTCTAAGGACTTGACCCATATTCTGCTGCTTTCCCAGGTTAAAAGCAGGATCAAAAGTAGAGTGACGGGGACAACAAACTGGTACTCATATGGGATGCCAGGGCCACCGGTGGAGGATTAGCTTGCTGTGCCACTGCCCCAGCCCCTAAATTCCTGACTTTTTGAAGCCACTCTCTGTACTTGATGAGAACCTACTTCAATGATCCCATCTTGATTCGATCATGTGCAAAGACTTCATTTTATTTCCAGATAAGGTCACATTCACAGATTTTCAGGGCTGAGACTTCAACATCTTTTGGGAAGGGATCCGACTGAAGACTTAACACTCTTTCAACTGCCTTCAAACATACCTGGTACAGTGCTTGGGCCCCTGCATTCACACGGGAGACCAGAAATAAGCTGCTGGCTCCAGGGGCCTAGCTTAAGTCGGGTCTAGCCCCATGCATTGTAGCCATTCAGGAAGTGAACCAGTGGACAAACATTTTCTCTCCTTCTTTGTCTCTTTTCCTTCTGTAACTCTGCTTTCAAATAAATAAGATACATCTTTAATTATCATTTTTTATTTTTATTTTACCTAAAGAGAAAGAGAGAGAGAGAGAGAGAGAGAGAGAGAGAGAGAGAGAGAGAGAAATTGTCCATATATTTCTCCAATGTGGTTAGGAGGAAGCCAAGTACTTGAGCCATCACCTGCTACCTCCCAGAGTACATGTTGGTAGAATTAAGGGTCATTTTAAGTGTACAGCTGGATAGTGCTTTGCAGATTCATGCAATTGTGCAATAATCACTGTCAATCATCACCAGAATGCTTTTCTTCCAGCAAAACTGAAACCCTGGGGACCAGCACTGTAGCTTAGTGGGAAAGCCAGCCCATAGAGCTCCAGCAAAATCCATGAATCTGTTTTATACTAGCCAGCTGTATACTTTAAATGATTCTTAAGCCTCTTAAATCATGAATTAATTTTAAAATAAACTATCTTAAAAATAAATATTTAAAAAGATTTTTTTCTTTTTTTATTGTTATTAACATTGTATTATGTGATACAGTTTTATAGGCACTGGGGAGCTAAAAAATATTTTTAAAAATTGGGACCAGTGCTGTGGCACAGAATGGTAAGCTGTTGTCTACAGTGCCGTCATCTTATATTAACACTGATTCAGATGCAGCTGCTCTATTTGTTTTGTGATTTTTAAATTCTTCTTATTATTTCCTATTATACAATTTTGTAGATATGGGACTTCCTTTATTCCCCTCCCCCCAATTTTCCTTTGTGTTACTACGATACAGTCCTTCACTGCATTCATAATTCCGACATTCTACTATTTACATGTTTGGTGACTTTGTACATGTAGGGAATAGAAGAAAGTCTAGCATCAAATTGTCAAGGTATATTTAACAGTCTCACTGGGGATCCTTCTTGATTTGGGAGTAGAGATGCATATTACAGTGCTTTTTCATTTCCAGTTATTCTAGTCTCTCATGTACACTTTGCTTATGGTAATATATTATGTATGCACTTGTTTACCTATATATCTATTTATTTTGTATTTTGCCTGACAATTGTCTTGTATCAGACAGAATATACGGTATTTGTCATTTGAGAGTGGCTTATTTCACTGAGCATGATGGCTTCCAGTTGGAAGCACTTTGGTGCAAATGGTAGAATTTCATTCTTTTTGATACCAAAGTTTCTTTTCCATTCCTCTTTCAACAGGCATCTGGGTTGCTTCTCTATCTTGGCTATTGT